AATGCCAGTTGTTTTTTTTTTTTTTTAAGGCTCAAGGACAAAAGAAAGTTGCTAGCATGATGGAAAGTAAAGAAGTCCATAAAGGAATATTTCAGATTGAGTGGGAACATAAGAAGATGGAGATGGAAATGGAAGATCTAAATCAGAAGGCTTGGGATATTCAGATGCTGTTTTTTTCAAGAGATCGTCAGAAGGTAAGTTTTCCCTGTGCTCCACTATATAATTTTAATTTCAGTCATTAATGTATTCACTCATTCAACCAATATTTAATAAGATGCTCTGTGATGTCAAGCATATCCTATGCATAGTATTTCATAATGTGACTATGGATTCTGTCTGTTTCTTCTAGTAGTTTACATTTGCTGCCTCTGGTTCTTTGTGACCCAGTCAGTAGTATAGTCCTATGTTGCAACTCACCAGGAATTTCCTAATTGTCAAATCTAGTGATCCGTTTCCCAGTCATCACCATCCCTCTAGTATTTGACCATTGACCGTCTTCATTCTCTCTCTCTCTCTCTTTTTTTCCTTTCTGGCCAGGAGCATGTGAGATCTTAATGCCCCAACCAGGGATCATACGTACGTTTCCCCAAAAACCCCCCTGCCCCCCACAGTGGAAGCAGAGTTTTAACCACTGCACCTCCTGGGAGGTCCATCTTCATTTTTAATATTACCTGTTGTTTTGGTTTTAATCATCCCTCCTTTCTCCTATATTTCTTCCAACATGTCAAATCACTCTGCCTCTTTTCCTGATTTCTCTTTTGTTTCTGCCTCTTAAGTATAGTGATTAAGATTCTGCCCTCAGCTCTGTTTCTTTCCATATCCTCTCCTTTGATGATTTCTCTTTTCTAACTTCCATGATCACTCCTAAGACTCATCCAAGCTTTCTGGATTCCAATTCCAATCTCACTTCTCTGAACCAGACCTTTCTCAAGCACTATTTCTGTGTTACCTCCCAACAGCACCTCTTCTTCTTTTGTTTATTTCTGTTCTTTGAGCCATTCACTTGGGGTTAAAGTCGCTGTCCTCTGATTCCTCTCCTTTCCTTCCAAGCCTTGCCTGGTGTATCTGTTTATTCCCTCATCCTTTATGCCCCTAACCGTTACCTTGCTTCAGTTCTTCCTTTTTAGTGGTTTCAAGTATTTTATAACAATCTTCTAACAAGTCTCTTGACTTTGGGTTTTTCTCTATCTCATCTATAGATTCACATTCCTATTCAGCTCTAATAACATTCCTACTCTGCTCCATTTTAAACTTCCTCTTCTTACCTGGTCAGTGAATTTTCAAGTTCTTAAGTGGTGTTGAGTGTCCTTCAATCTTTCTCAAATTCATTCTCTTACACATCAATATTCTCAAACCAAACTGATTTTATTTTCTAGGATTCTATCTCTGTGCCTTTGCAATACTGGTTCTTCTACCTGGAATATTTTTCCTCAATTTTTTTCACAGCCTGAACCTATCTACTTTTGAGGGTCTGGTTTAAATGCCACCTAATCCATAAGCCTTTTGATTTCCCAAGCTCAGAGAAATCATAGCCCATCTCAAACCACCTTTTAATTTGCATGTCACTTATATATCTTCTGGCAACTAATCGTATTACTTATTCTCTTCTTGATGTCTAGGTCATATTATCTATCTTTGTTATCTCCCTCAGTATCTTTAACTATTAGTAGGGTATTGTTAATATGGAACTCATGAAACACTGTCAAATGAAACAGTAAATATCTGGTGAGTTGAATAAATGAATGAATGAGAAAATAAACTAGGCATTGGTAGTTATTAGTATATAGGTGAGTGCATCAATAACTTATGTTTAAACTTATGTTTATAAGTAAATATTATGGCACAAAGCAAAATTAATCCTCACTTGGATAGAAATTTTTTATGAGAAACAGGAACTTCCCAAACTAAGATAATCTTTATAAAATTATCTCTTGGAAGAAATAGAGAAAAATATACTTACTTTGTGATTTATTTTTCCTCTCAAAGTACCTAAGTGAACCAAACTATGAGACTCTGATTGCCATTCAGATTGGAATAATGGAGCAGACTATTGATGTTTTAGATAAGGTAGGAATCAAAGATATTGATCATTATATTTCCAGTATTTGTGAATGATTTGAACAAAGTAATAGTTTTCAAACCATGAATTCAAATAGAACCTACCAAGACTTGGTCTTTTATAATGATATTCAGGATGTAATTCAGTTCAGTTCAGTCGCTCATTCGAGTCCGACTCTTTGCAACCCCATGGACTGCAGCCCACCAGGCCTCCCTGTCCATCACCGACTCCCAGAGTTTACTCAAACTCATGTCCATTGAGTTAGTGATGACATCCAACTATCTCTTCCTCTGTCGTCCCCTTCTCCTCCTGCCTTCGATCTTTCCCAGCATCAGGGTCTTTTCCAATGAGTCAGTTCTTTGCATCAGGTGGCCAAAGTATTGAAGTTTCAGCTTCAACATCAGTTCTTGCAGTGAACATTCAGGACTGATTTCCTTTAGGATGGATGTAATTAGAGCTCCCTAAATAGCGTCTTTGCAACCATAACCATTGTGGTAGCCTGAAGCACTTTAAAAAATATTTTAATTTTATATTGGAGTGTTGTTGATGAGTAATGTTGTGTTAGTTTCAGGGGTACAGCAAAGTGATTCAGTTATACATATATGTGTACCCATTCTTTTTCGAGTTCTTTTCCCATTTAGGTTATTACAGAATACTAAGCGAAGTTCCTTGTGCTATACAGTGGGTCTTGTTGGTTATCCTCTTGGGTTTCCCTGGTGGCTCAGATGGTAAAGTCTGCCTGCAATGCAGAAGACGTGGGTTTGATCCCTGGGTTGGGAAGATCCCCTGGAGAAGGAAATGGAAACCCACTCCATTATTCTAGCCTGGAAAATTCCATGGATGGAGGAGCCTGGCAGGCTACAATCCGTGGGGTCACAGAGTTGGACACAACTGGGTGACTTCACTTTTTGTTGGCTATCTATTTTAACTATAGAAGTGTGTATATCTAAATCCCAACCTTCCAATCTGTTCTTCCCCCTACCCTTCCCCAGCTCCGTAACCATAAGTTTGTCCTCTAAATCTGTATGTTTCTGTTTTGTAAATAAGTCCATTTGTATCATTTTCTTTAGATTCCAAGTGTAAGCAAGATCATATGATGTCTTTGTCTGACTTACTTCACTTAGTATAATAATCTCCAGGTCTATTCATATTGCTGCAAATGGCATTATTTCATTCGTTTTAATGACTGAGTAATATTCCATTATATATATGTACCACATCTTTATTCATCTGTTAATGGACATTTAGGTTGTGAAGCACTTTAACATCCTTTGGGGCTATTGGAGTGTAGGTGAATTTCCTGTTTCACATTCGGTTATGATTTATGTAGTAGAAGTGTTGATAGTCTTTCCTTGGCGTTGTAAAGGTTTTGTTTTACCCTAACTGCCTGAGCACTCAGTTTTGAGTGTTTAACATACATAAGATGGAAACAAAGTACTCTCCAGGCTGTGTTCTTAGAATCTCTCATTTCTAAGAATATATAAAGCTTCTTCTAAAATGTGTATTAACATACCATTCTATCTTTCAACAAATAATTTAAGTACCTACTGTGTGTGGGCATTATGCTAAGCACTAGGGGTATGGTGGTAAGATATTTTATGATGACAATGTGTTTCAGTTTTAAGAATAATATCTTTATAAAATATTTTCTTTCAAAATTATTTTTGTGGGATGTCCTGGAAACAAAAATTTCAGACTCACAAAAAGAATGTGGAGAACTGCAAAAAGCTGCTTAAAAAGCTGAGAAGGTTCAGCAATCAAAAAGATATAGCAAATTATACCCTAAGTTGCAATTTACGAGAAGAGCTGGTGGCTGTCTCAGAGAGAAAAGACATCTGTAATGCAATGGGTAAGATTTTTTTTTCTTTAATTAACTTTCAGTTTGTTTAAAAGTAATCAGAATTCCTAAAATCTGTACAGTGGTTATAAAGCTACCAGTATTTGTTCCATACGTTTAACTATTTCAGAGTGCTGTTTCTGTATTTTAAAATGTAGATAATAATTCAACGAATTCCATCTTCTTCATTTTGGGGATAGGGTCTAAACTGACTTGTGAAAAGATTGCCAAAGAACGATACGAAAACATGATGCGACAACAAAAGTTAACAAAAATTTCAAAAGAACAAGCTGAGCAGATTTCAATACTACAGGCTGAAGTTGAAAGATTAAGAATGAAAACATTTCCTGCTCTTGTTCAAATGTAAAAATACTGTGGAAAATGTAAGACCAAATCAATAATTTTTAAAATAATTTCATTTGGTTAAAATTATTTGTTTCTCTTATATCAGAAATTTTAAGTAGAGTCTTCTCTTACTGGCATATTTTTTATACCAAATTGTTTGATTTTAGTCTTACTCACTATAAAAATGTTTGTCTTGCATGAATAAATGTCTAAAATAACATGAATTATTCTTATTCAAGAATGAACAAGATTTTATCTCAGAATATATTTAAGATCTATTTTATTGTTTTAATCAAAAATATTTCACAGTAGTAGTATAGACAGTCTTAAAGACAAAAAATTATTCTTAGCCACTACTGCCATTTCTAATTTTATAAAATTACCAGAAACATTATGAGATTATGATTTTTATCTTTTATATTTTTCTGTATTTCCCATTTTCTTCAGTAAGCATTTCTCTATAATTGGCAAAAAATTCATAGGATGTTAAAGATTATTCCCTCTGCTGTCAGTGTGAACAAAGTGGTTTACTTTTACCAAGCCCTAAATCATTTGTAAATTACAACATATTTTCTATGTAAGCATTCTACATAAACATGACATAATCATCTTTATCTCACATTTATTACAACAGAACTTTTGTGTCCCACCCAGAAGAGCTTAGTAAACAGAAAAAACATGTTTTCTCATTTTGTGATATTGTGATTTATAATAAGCAATATATATTTGGTCTTTGACCCCATTCCTGGCACAGAGATCCTAAAACACTTGGAATTTCCTAAGTGATGAGAGAGGTACAGATATCTTGTTAATGAGGTGACTTTTGGACTGCACGTAAGGATGGGGGCTGGTTGCCCGAACCAACACTGTGTCCCAACCTCCAATCCACCTACCCACCCTCCCCACACTTCCACCCTCACCCCCACCTCCAGGGAAGGTAAAGGAACTGGAAGTTGAACTCATCACCAATGACCAATGATTTAATCGATCATGCCTATGTAATGAGGTCTCCATAAAATCCCACAAGGACACGGTTTGGAGAGAGTGCTGAGAGCAAGTAAGCTCTGAGTCTTTCCCCAGGCCTTGCCTTATGTATTTCTTCCATCTGGAGGTTCCTGAGTCAGATCCTTTTATATGGTAATTTGGTAAATAAAATGTTTCTCTGAGTTTTGTGAGCCATTCTAGCAAAAAAATTGAACCCAAGGAAGGAGAGTCTTGGGAGAAGCAGAGTTGACAATCTGGGCTTTCAGTTGACATCTAAAGTGGAGGGCAGTCTCATGGGACTGAGACCTTAATTTGTGGAATCTGATGCTATCTCCAGACAGATGTGTCAGAATTGAGTTGAATTGTATTATAGGACATCCACATGGTATTTGAGAATTGTTTGGTGTGGAGAAACACAGCCACAAGAGAAGGAATTTGGTGATAAGAATTCTTACATTTCCATGAAATAGTTTATCACTTTATTCATGTAGATAATAATAATAAGATTAACTGTTCAGAAAACTGCTTTGCCTTTCCATAGCCTATGGACTGACTGCATTCCAACATGATAATCAGTGGGATCATTGACCACAATCTCCAAATGGTATCAATGTCTCGTTGTTCTGCAATTCGTGAATTAAGTTTAATCTGCAATACCATATCCAGTGTATACTGGTGTAGGTGAAGCCAAGAGAACAATTATAAAATACTATATCTAGAAAAAAAAATTTAGTATTTAAAAACTTCCAGGATAGTACCATAATTGATCACCTGTTCAGTGATCACCTGTTCAATGGGAATAGTAAGAAAAATAAGAGTCAGCATCATTTTGACAACTCCCCTTCTTAGACCTAGAATGAGTCATAGTCAGTTTGGCTGATTAAGCATGGTAGTGTCCATCAATAACGTTTCCATGTCACCTAAATTAACTGTTGGAGCCTCCATTTGCTACTAGTCAAGGCCACAAATATCTCTGGACAGTGCTCTGTGGATTCCTGGGTCTTAAACAACCGGTGTGGTTTCTGTTTCTTAATGTCCACCCTGAGTGATCTTGCAATGCTCCTTGCTTAAATGTCTCATCTTTGAGGCACAGATAGAAGGGAAATTAGCAAGAGTCTCTTGCCCCCAAGATGAATTCTAGTAGCACAGCAGCACTTTCAACAGGAGGCATCTTCTGGTTTGAGGGTGTTGGTAGGTGCTTTGGAAAGGCACGAGTCATGCAACCCAGTCCTCTCTGATTCTCCTCAGCTTCTGCAGAACTAACAGCAGTTATATTCATATTTTTATAGTCCTTTAAAATACTATCTTTTATCAAGTAGTAATATAATTAACTGGGTCAAACATAACAAGGTTTTGAGGATAGGACTTAGTATGAGCTCTGTTGCTGGGTTGCTTGGGATAAATAACCACTTGATCTTAAAATTTCCTTTAAAACTGGAGTGTTGGTAATTATAATACGCAAATAAGTTAACAGATTTTTAGAAACTGGTCAAAGCAAGTGCTAAGTGTTAGCTTTCATCATAATGAATAAAAATAGTTCTTATTCACTAGTTCTTTTAAAATATATATCCTATTAAATGGAGGTGAAATGTAACAAATTATTTAAAAGGGGACTGCTTCAAGGGCCATGAGCCCCATCCATACTCCATGATCTCCCTCGCTTGTAGAAATGCCCACTGAACTGCTGGAGCCCTCAGCCAGTATCTTAGAAATCCCCCTGACTGTACCCCCACCTCCTCCCCAACTCTCCCAAGCCCAGAGTCTCACTGATGCTGTATGTCTTCCAAGTGGACACGTGAGGGTGACTCCAGATGGGCTAATCAGCAGTGGGGCAGCTGCAGTCAAATGCCAGCACCATCACCAGGGAAGCCACTTCCCCAGTCCCATTTAGGACCTCAGGCTGAGCAGTAAGAAGCAGCGGAGGCTGGTCAACAGAGCTTCCCAGGGGTGCCCATCTGGTAATGCTAGAGCCAGGGAAGGCCCATGTGAGGACTGCGCCAGTCCTCTTGGATTCACAGAAGCCAGTGACAATGGCAATGTCTAGAAGACAGAATTGGGGTGGGGTGAGAAGGGCAAGTTACTGGCACATGGGCATACAAGAGCAGAGTCCTGATATGTCAACGTTAAGTTCATTGGCTCATGGGGAAGGCCTGGCCTGAAAAAAACAGAGCACTTGGGAGTGAAGGGGTAAGCTTAGGGTAATAGCTATTTACCAAGTAGTAGGGAAGTACTTTTTAAGTTTTTTTTTTTTTTGATTGCGGGGGGTGGGGGGGCGGGGGGGGAAGCTAAAACAAAAAAACCCAAGCAAAGCTGTGTTAGCCCTTAAAAAGACCCAAGAACAGAAGTCCCTGAAAATCCTCAGGAAGACTGGAACCCAGAACCAAGAAACCGCTGACTCACAAAGTTCTCTCTCTGCCTTTCTCTGTAAGGGCACACTTAAACACACAAGCTTTTCTGCTTCCAAGTTCACATACAACCGCTCCAGTCACAAAAAGAAACGGGCTTTCTTTTCTTGAGTTTAGTTCCAAATTCTCAAGGACTGGGACAGATTGGGTCAGGGTCATATGTCTATCTATGGCCAGGATAACAGATTAGGTACCACCCCCAGTGAAGGTGGGTTTCTGGCTTGGTCACTGTTAATGGAGTGAAAGTTACTCAGTAGTGCCTGACTCTTTGCGACCCCATGGACTATACAGTCCCTGAAATTCTCTAGGCCAGAATACTGGAGTAGGTAGCCATTCCCTTCTCCAGGGGATCTTCCCAACCCAGGAATTGAACCCAGGTCTCCAGCATTGCAGGCAGATTCTTTACCAGCTGAGCCACCAGGAAAGCCTATTAATGGAATAAATATGCTAACTTTAACCTTTTTCACAGATATGATTGAAAAGGCAGATGAATGTAAAAGACGCTGTATGCCATGCCTTGAAGTGAGATATGAGCAAATGTGATTTTATAAAAAATAGATGATCATTTCACTAAATGAGATAAGGAATGCAAGTAGCAAATTTGAAGAGACAGAAACTAATATAATTTTGAACATGAGTTTAAATACCTGCTATACCATCCAGATAAACATGTGGTAAATGTATGAAAACAAGGCAGAGGCATAAACTTAGGGGAGGCAAGCATTTTTAGACAAGTTTACATTTAGACATTGACTAGATGGACTAGTGAACATTTAAAATAAAATGTTTTCCCACAATAAATAAAACAATGTATTAAAACTCACTTCCACAATTCTCAAAATTATCTTAACATGATTTAATTTAAAAAATTTTTTTTCACCTTTAACTGGTAAGTTTTCTTTGGGAAATTTATTCAAAACACTAAATTTTCATTTTTGAACCTTGTTTATATTTATATAACAGAGGCCCTAAATTGATCCAAGTTCACCAGGATACCTTTCTTCAAGCCCTAATGGTTTATATCTTCCCTTTAAAATGTATAAATATCTTTTAATTAAGTTGTCATTCACAAAGATATTCTGGAGAAAAAAATTATGAATTAAACACCTATAAATTCTTCTTCATTTCTGTTATAGTGTAGCAATTTATCATCTAACCCATAATGGTCTATCAGCTGAGTAAGGCTTAGTTTCTTGTTCTCCTCAGACATAGTTGACTGCAACTCATAAAGCAACTGCTGGCTACAGCTTCTCCACTTCTCTATTAACAACTGTAACTGAGACAGGTCATTCTGAAACAGGAAAAAAAAAAAAGGCATGAATGTATGTCATCTTATTTTAACTTACTTAATAAAAGTTGTTAAATCAGTCAATGAGTAGTAGGTTTAAAGAGTAACACATTTGGACATGAATGGGACTTCTACCCAGAAAAAAAGAAAAATGGTTTTAAGTAAAACCTTACCCTCAGGGAAAAAAAATTCAAATCATTAAATAAGGCAAAACTATGTAAAGAAGCAACAATATAGGTTAAAAAAAATCTACTTTTTCTACTACAGCTATACTTTTAAAATTATATTCAAATTAATACTTCTCAGTGTCACAATCTCATAAAACTCTAGTTGTATTTAGAGAAATCCTAAAAATTCAAAAGAGCAAATAATATATAGCATTCCATCATTGATTACACACTGGAAAACAGCAATTACAATATACATGAATAATCCAGATAAATAAGGGTCATCTTCCAAGTGCCCCAATTCTATTCACTTCAACCTACCTGGGTTGAAATCTAAAATTTATTATATTTTTGTTGTTTTTCTTAAAAGAAAATGCTTGAAACATTTTAATAATTTGTTGGTAATAATTTAATAAGAAAATCATTACTAAAAATACTTTTTATTCTGTGGCCCATTTTTAGCCTTTTTCTCTTCACTGTCACTGTTGCTTCTGTTCTTATTGCAATTTGCAGCTAACATTTGAAACTTCTAATACTGCTGTGGGATGGAAACTAGAGAGAAAAGCTTCAACTGCATATGAAATGTGGGTTGGGGCTTTCAAAAATGTATATCTGGTGTTTAGAGGCCTCTTCTCTAAATCTATGACTTATATTTGAGTTAAAGTTGTTGGAAGCCAGGTCTCTTGGTAACTGGCTTATTTCTCAGTATTGTAAAATAAACTTATATTTTCTTTTTTAAATACTTTCCTACCATTTATCTAAAAACAAAAAAAAATTATTAGGCAATGGTTCTGAAATTCTTCTCACCTTTGATCTATACATTTTGACTAGCTTCAGCCTCCGAAGAAGGTCTTCTTTCTCTTGAATCTGCTTCATCAATTTTGCTTTTTCTTTGTTTAGTTCATGTTTGGCAAGATTCTCATTCATAAAGTCATTTTGGAAATCACTGCATGACTCAGTATCAAGTGATTTAGATTCACAAACATTTATATTCTTGAAAGTATCTTTTAAATATGTACTTTCTTCAAATTCACTATCTGTATGTTTAAAACTTTCATGAAATTCCAAACAGCTTTCTTCTGTTGAAGGTGCTGATTTCTCTGAAGTCTGATGATTTTCTTCACTCTCTACTTTAAGTCGTTTTACCACACTGTAACAGGAATTAAATGAAGATCTGGTTTTCCTTAATCGTTCTCTAAGGGTTGCACTCATAGGCTGAAAAAGGCATCAAACATTAATAATGTTAATCAAGAAAAACATTCTTGATATAAATAAATAAATCTACTGGGAATCAAGACTACATTTCTGTGGCAGACACCACTAGATGGCTTTCTGTCTCCATGTATCTAAAGTAACCATCACAAAATATCTTTCAATTTCTGGAAGCTTCACTAAGTTTTATTCTCTTTTTATTTTAGCAAAGCCAGCATCCTTCTAAAATAGTGTTGAAACAATTATCTCAGTAATCACAAACATTTGTTCAGCAATTAGTCCAAGCCTGATATGGTTAGGTGCTTAGTTGTAAAGACTTTCATTGACATCAAACTTTTTGGAATGCTGTAATAACCTGAACCGAAAATAAAATAATTGAGTCAGGATGAAAATCGAAGGGGAAGGTCCAATACATTTTCTAAAAGGAAACACCTAAAATAATAAAAATTTTACTTATTAACCTACACATTGTTAATTAACAATGTTCAGTAGACTTAAAACCACCATTACTGCAATACTTAGAAATATACATCCAGTGAAAGAACTAAGATTTTCATACTTGTTTACTTAAACTACTTGAATGGGGAGATGGTGGATTGGCACCAGCTTGTGGAGTGCTAGGTAACATCAAAGCCGAGTTTGATGGACTTTCCATCTTGAAATCTTGCTTTACTTCTAAAAAACAAAAAATAATCACAAAACAGAAATCAAATTCGCCCACACTTCTATATATTCAATTTTAAACAAATTAGTTTTATTGTATATAACAAGCCAGTCAACTTCCTTCTTTCACTTAGCTGTGCTTCATTCTTGCTTTTTTGTGTGTGCAATTTTCTGTTTACTTCCCTAAATTAGAGTGTTGGTCATTATGGTGACTACTAGTTTTTTCATGACAAGTTAACCAGCTAGCATCTCATATAAAGAACTCTCCATTTGTTTCTACTGACTGATAAAATAATGATAAAAGTCTCAAAACCTGCCATATTGGGAGCGGGGAGGAGAGTAACAGGAATTCGTTAATCTCATTACGCCAGTTTCACAATGAAGGAAAATGTAATTGAAATCTTCTAGTGCTTTAAGTGAAAGTCGCTCAGTCGTGTCCGACTCTTTGCGACCCCATGGACTATACAGTCCATGGCATTCTCCAGACCAGAATACTGGACTGGGTAGGATCCCTTCTCCAGGGGCTCTTCGAAACCCAGGGGTCGAACCCAGGTCTCCCGCATTGCAGGCAGATTCTTTACCAGCTGAGCCACAAGGAAAGCCCAATATTTTCTTTAAAATTTTTAAAGAATATTTATAACTTCTTTAAAGTGCTTGTCGGTTGGTTTTAAAAAACAGTCGGACACGACTGAGCGACTGATCTGAATTATGCCTTTATCTACTGATTACTCTTCCTCTTGATTATGGATCACATTCTCCTATTTCCCACTATTATCCCACTTAAATAAACATAATCAGACCTGTTACACTACCCTAAATCCTAGAAGCTGTGTGCCTAAAACTAACGACCCCCGGGGGTGAGGAATAAACAGCACAAACACAGGTAAATTTACTCCTGTCTGCATCGTTTTCAATTAAACAGCGAAGAGACCCTGAAAATGAGAAACTGAAGTTTCTCAAAGGCCATCAACTTTACAGGGTAAAATACCACAAAGGAGCCCTCCCTCCTCTCCCGCCACTACAGAAGGCCCACACGAGCCCTCGAGACACCCAAAACCTGAGGTGGAGCTGAGAGGTGCCTTAACCGCGGAAAGGGAGCATTATTCAACTCCCCTTCCGATCCCTGAAGAAGTTCAGCTGTCAGACACCCACTCCACACCCCACACGGTACCTCCCTCAGCCATCCCCAGAGAGCGCGGAGAGCGCGCTAGCAGAGGCAGCGTCGCAGAGGCCGGGCCGCGCTGGAGGAGGAAGAGACGCGCGATTGGTCAGAGTAATTGACACACAGCTCCTCTTCGCCCAGTGCCCTGAGAGGCGGGACTGCGCGCGCGCGGCCTCGAGACTCCGCAAGGGGGCGGGACGAAACGGAGGGGCCGAGACGCGTGATTGGTCGAGTTGACCGATACGCGCGGCTCTGCTCCGCCCAGCGCCCGAGAGTTGCGGGACTGCGCGCGAGGCCACTTGCTGGGAAGAGCTTTAAAGCAACTAACGGTTCCCGGCAGGGGCGCGCTTTTCTTCGCGGCTTCTTCTAGCTCTTCTTTTTTTTATACCGCCTTCCTTTCCTGCGTCCTGGTTTTTGTGTTTCTAAAGGACGCCTGAGAATGCCCCACCTGTTCTGGCTCCCGTCAGTCTCTTCTCCGCGCTCCCCACAGCAAAGGCCTTTTCTCAGACTCCACGGGACCCAGAGACTCCGGGCCTGTTGTGTGTTATATTTACAGGTTGTAAACTCCAAAGGCAAAAAGACTACAGAAGAAGGGTTAATGGCCCGTTGGCAGTCAGACATATTAGAAATCTAAGAACCCGAGCGGATGCAGTAGAGTTTTTAGAATGCTGCCTCAAACTCTGCGGTCCCGCCACGGGCGGTTTTTTTTTTTTTTTTTTGGCGAATCTACCTCAAAATTCAGATTTCTTAGCTTGGCTCCTAATCTTTTCGTCAAATCTGAAAGAAAATGTAGCCCAAGGAAAGTCGTTGGGGTGCAATACAGGAAGCAGAACAATGACTAAGATTAGGTTGGTCCAAACCCTGCCTGAATACTGGGCAGCGGCATCCTCGGTCTAAAATAACTCTCCTCGTTTCCTGTGTTCTGTTGCTGTGGAACAACAAAGTGAACTAATTGGGTGGAGCACTGAATTTAGGAAAAGACAGTTGAGTAATTTCTGAGTCAGGTGGAAGTTGGGAATTTTAGCGGGGCAGTGTTTTGAATTCTAAGGAATAGATATTTTAAACGTTGACACTGTCTTTTTACTAATATCTGATAAAAATGGCTTAGAAGTAGCAAGGACCCGGAAGGAATAACTGAGTGCTAAACAGTGGAATGTATCTACAGAACTTGAAGACCACCTAATGCAGTGATTAAGAACGTAAATGTTGGAGTCAAGTTGCTTAGGTTCAGATCCCAGCGCCTTTATTTTGTGTTGTTTGTAACGGAGTGTGTCGGTGTCTCAGCTTCCTCATCCATAAAGAAGGGATAATATTATCAATCCTCCTAGGATTTGAGGAATTAAATGAGAATTCAGGACAGGCAGTGAAAAGCGGCAATAGGTATCTAGGAAGCACTCAGTTGTTATATAAGGAGCTACAATATAATCACCATTCTCTTATTGATCTAAAGGAATGCATCATATAATCCTTTCATCCATCCCTTATCTCCCCTCAAAAGGCCGCGGATTTTTTAAAGATGCAATGATTTGTAGGACGTAAGCCATAAATAGAAGAAAACTTGAAGCTGCCACGTATAGTTAATAATGTATTATGATTTTAAATTTTCAAAAATTATATAAATCTCAAGGAATTTATAAAATGAGAGTGAGAACTTGTGATTTTGGCTTGCTAAGCCACAGATCCAAGTCTGTACATTTATTTCTGCCTTTACTCATCTATTGGCATCAGTTACACTGAGAAAAGCAGAGTGATTTGTCCTGACACTAGAAGCGCAACGCACACTCTGCATATTCTTTACACCTTGGGGCCTGACGTTGGGTTGTTTTTATGATTCCCTAAAATCAGCTGCTCCAAAACCCTTTTATCATTATAACCTAAGCTTAGAACTGTGTTTTTGCTGGCTCCATAAATGAAAACATCTTGCCTAGCAAATGTTCTGACTTGCTTAGTATATGAACCTGTATATTAAATGGGATTGTTTTGGCCAGATTTTCAAAGAACTTCAGAAGGAGTACTCAGAAGAACCTGTATTTCAGAAATGTGCATTTGTTGACCTACATCTCTGATTTCCAGTGTTGTTAGAACTGAACGATTTTCCCATGCATAAGTTTGCATTTTACTTACTCCCATTATATACCAAAGTGGAAATAGACCTTTCACTCTCAGTTTACTGTAAGGGATCTAGAATATAGCCTCTATAGTTCTCGTTGTACCTTTAGATAAAGCCTAGCAATCATTTCCATGTCTTTCAGAGCCTGAAGTTTACTGGCCTGTAAGTAGTTGTTTCCCACACATGACATGGTATGTTTCACAGTAGGTTTCAAACATAGTATGTTTCATTGTATTCTGACTTCAGGCAGGGAAAAATCCTGCCCTAGAGAACCAGAAGGGAAGGATCCTACTCCACCATAAAGAACAATCTGAGCAATAGAATTCAGTGATGATAGTAATTAATATTAACCTAAGGCAGGCTTTCTCTGTGTGTTTTTAAATTTCATACCCAAGGCTACTGTTCACTACTTTGTTATTCATCAGGGTGTGGTAAAATGCTTCTGTCCATTCTTGTCTGTGATTATTGTTGGTGAGATAATGACATAAACCTAAAAACCTTTATGTGGGTTTTTTTCTTTTTTAATAGCAAGAAGAGAATAGTGAATAGTCTCTCTCTCGCTATCTCTGTCTCTCCGTACAGTAAAGCACATATACACTCTTTTAAGCTACAATTTAAAATTTTATTATACTAATTTTTAAAAATTCTTTAACATTACTTTAAAAATCTTAACAGTCACCTCTGGATGACCTAGATTCCATTCCATTGACTTTTCTTATTGAAAACAAAGTCCATATCATGTAGACACAGTTAGTATCCATAGGTATTTTTTAACAATTAAAATATAAATACACACTTTTAAAACCAGAATTCAAATTCACTTGGGTGAAGAAATGTATACAATCCACATGATTAAGTTGATTTATAAAGTACATTAGGACAAGTTAAACTGTATAACACTCACAAGAAGGTCTACTAAATTCTCTCAACTAGCGTTCAATATTTCTTATGACACTGGTATGTAAGTTGAAAGACTCTCCTGTAGGGACTGTCATACAGAGTGAAGTAACTCAGAAAGAGATAACAGATATCATACAATGTCGCTTATATGTGGAATCTAGAAAAATAATAGAGATGAACTTATTTGCAAAGCAGAAATAGAGACACAGACATAGAAAAGACATATGGCTACAAGGGGGGAGGGGAGGGTGGGGAGAACTGGAAGATTGGAGTTGACCCATGTACACTGCTGCTGCTGCTGCTAATTCACTTCAATCATGTCCGACTCTGTGCGACCCCATAGATGGCAGCCCACCAGGCTCCACTGTCCCTGGGATTCTCCAGGCAAGAACACTGGAGTGGGTTGCCATTTCCTTCTCCAATGCATGAAAGTGAAAAGTGAAAGTGAAGTTGCCCAGTCGTGTCCGACTCTTAGCGACCCCATGAACTGCACCCCACCAGGCTCCTCTGTCCATGGGATTTTCCAGGCAAGAGTACTGGAGTGGGTTGCCATTGCCTTCTCCGCCTATGTACACTATTATGTATAAAATAGATAACTAATGAGAACCTACTGTATAGCACAAGGAGCTCTACCCCTCTACCCAGTGCTCTGTGGTGACCCAAGTGGAAAGGAAATCCAAAAAAGAGGGAATATATGTATACATATAGCTGGTTCACTTTGCTATATAGCAGAAACTAATACAACATTGCAAAGCAACTATACTCCAATAAAAATTTATTTAAAAAACTCTAGGTTTCTCCTGCCATGAATTCAAGTCTCATCCTATAGACCTATCCATGATGAAGAAGGTTTTAGTGTGCTGTTATCTTATAAATTTCCCTTTGAATAATTGACAAACTAATTCTATTTCTTTTTTGAAACTAATTCTGTTTCTTTTCACTGTTGCTTAAATATCTTAAATGCAATTCTGTAATGTTTAATTGATTTACTTGTAGAGACCATTGAAGACTGTTATCAAAGTGTGATCTTTGAGAGTAAACTCTTTAATATTTTTTCATCAGGTTAAAAAGAGAGGATTTTATTTTCAACTTCAAAATGGCCCTTGAATTAGATATTAGGCATGCCTGAATGGGTGCCTCACTGAGTAGAATGACTACTTCAAGCATGGAGATATGTGGAGGGTCAATGATAAAAACCTGTTCACCACCAGGCAACCAGAAAATTGATCTGGTAACTAATGTTGAGGTTAGTATATTGAACAAGAACCTAAAGAGATCCTTTCACATGAAGTTCCTGTCCTTTTATTCTATTAGATCTGGCATTTTGTCAAGTGCATTAGAGACTAGAGAAGTAAGAGTGTCTATGATTCACTGCTATTAGCGGGGTGTGTTCTCTTGGAGAAGAATAGAGTGATTCAGGTTAGATTAACAACTGTGAGGAAGGGGGTAGGGTGTGGGTGAGTGGGAGGGTCAGGGCAGAGGAGCTATATTGTGGAAAAGTAATGGTAGTAAAAATATTGCTCAAGGCCACATCTTTCTCAAATCCTTTATTAACTCAGAAATGTCACCCCTACATCTATTCAGAGGGGAAAAAAAGGCAATAGATGTCAGCAAATCCTCAAGCAACAGAACATGTCTTATAATCATCTTCAACCACCTGAAGTTTGAGAGATAACAACTCCCAAGATAATTTCACAGTATTGAAATCTGTTTGAAATGCCGACAAAGAAGTCAACTCAGTTTTCTACCCTCACGTCTTATTACTGTTTTAGTCTTGAGAATACAAAAGATTTCTTTTTGGTGATGCTTTTTTAAGATGGAGGAGTAAGAATGTCTGTTGCTCAGTCTCTAAGTCGTATCCAATTCTTTGGGACCCCATAGACTGTAGCCTGCCAGGTTCCCCTGTCCACAGGATTTTCCAGGTCAGAACACTGGAGTGGGTTGCCATTTCCTCCTTCAGGGGATCTTCCTGACCCAGGGATCAAACCTGATCCAGGGATTGAATTGTATCT